GAGCCACTTACTGTAAAGGGAAGAGAGAGAGAGAAAATCTGGATATTTTATTGGATTTTTCCCAGAGAGCTGGAGATTAATTATTAAGATTTTCTAATATATTTGCTCTGTAATTTCTTGGGGAGGGCAATCACCTCGTTGAGATGCATTTTTTACCAAGGGTCAGGGTATTGATTCCACTAAGGACTCATAGTCAGATGCCAAGTACGTGTGAATGGCATTTCCATATAGGTGAATGTTAGGCCAAGAGTAAGCCACTAGTAGATTCATATCCCTGAAGGACTGAAGCTAACAGGGGCTGAGTCTGATGAAATCTACCTACAGACCCAGATGGCCAGAGAAGACAAGCAAGGCAGTGACAATAATATGTGGCATTGCACTTAAGGCATTGTTGTAGCCATGTCTCGGAAAAGTATACAAGTCAAGCAAATGTTACCAAATAAGTTGAAACAACTTTAGCTATTTTAAGAAGCTGGGGAGAAAAATCACTGTGGGAATACCCTATGATTTGAATAACCTATTTCACAGGTGGCACAACTAAGTTCAGCAAGATTATGTGACTTGTCAAGGTGACATGAAAATAATGATAAGCCCAATCCTAATGATTAAGGTTATTTCACATTCAGAGTCTATTTTACTATCACACCACAGATGTCTCAAGTAAAAGAAATGCAGGCAGGGCTGAAAGACCAGGAAGCCAGAGTTAGCAAGAACAGCACCAAGAAGTAGGTTTGGTGAGCCCACTTCTAGGACTGAGTATAAGACATCCTGGGCTGGTAAGTAGTAAGTAGGTGGTTGGAGTTAGGACAGAGGCCTAAGGCTGCTGTCAGCCTTTATGGAGGAAGGGATGCCGCTGTTATCAATGAGAGTTTCTGGAAAGTCTGTACACCCAGGTTGTATCTGCACTGAAGACCATCTGAGCCGGCCGAGTAGTATTGTTTGTCTCTGTAATGACCACTCAGATATAGCATCGACCTAATAAAATAACGTAATGGAATTTTTTACTCTGATCAGATGGTTTCAGGCCCAGTTTAGGATGACTGATCACATTCCCTGAGCTGTTCTGTCATCCTCCCTCCACTGGAGCTTGCTGGGTTGGCCGGTGACAGGATTTGAGCAATGTTGCCTTATGGCTTAGGTCTCTGTTTAACTTGAATAAGTATTGTGGGACTTAAGTCAGCTATTGAAAATAAAGAATAAAAGCATTCTGTGTCTTTTCTCTGTGTTGAGGGAATGATGGAATAATGGACTTCATTTTAGAGAAAATCAGATATATCAATATTTTCATCTGGATACTGAGAGCTTTCATACTTGGGTTTGGAAAGATGAACAAAATTCATAGCAAACTAAATGCCTTATGTATATCCCAGAAAATTTTCCTCCATGAAAAAGAGATCCTATAAGAAATCTATACCTCACTTTCTCTATCCTGTGAAAGTTAGAGATCTTTTCTTACATTTTAAGTGATACCTAATACATATATGCCTATGTATAAATGCTCCTCTAGTTCATTTGGGGGAACAGAAGGAAGAGAGCAGAAGTGTTGAGAAGTTGTAAATAAATATTCAGGGTGAGAGGTTCAATTTTAACAGGGTAACAAACTTCCACTTCATAAAGTAATTCATTAAGAATTTTCCTTCCCAAACCTCTTGGTCACCCTGACCTGACTTTAGAAGTATCAAAGAGTGAGAAAGTCACATGTATCAATCATAAATGTGTATGTTCATAAAAATATGCAGAAATTTCTAAAGATCATGATTTTTAATAAAGGATTTTATAGAAGCACACAACAACATTGTATTCACATGGTATTTGTCAAGTTAATTTTATCTAAATAAAGTAGCAAAATAAAACCCTTAATATAAGTATGATTGGGAAATTTTTTACTATAAGAATTTTTTCCCATATTACAAAATCTTGCAGACACTATTTGTCTCTGTAAAAATTAAATATATTCATTTATACATGGTATTTTAAAAATAAGAGATGATGAGAAATTCTGGATGTGGTTACTGATGACCATGCCTATAATTAGCTCCAACTTCCTCATTAGGGAATGCTGCTTTTAAAAAGTAGGAGATTCTAAGAATAATAGCTCATCTAATTGAAGATCATTATAAACAAATTAGGATGTATTTGTGAGTTGTGCTAATGATGCATGTTAAATGAATAAAGTGATATCCTGGTGCAGAATTATGGTGAATATCTTTGTCTTTACCATTCTTCGGAATTATTATTTCTTATGCTTGTGCTATTTCTATGTTTTTTGTATGTGCATGACATTTTGGAAGTAGGGAAGTTGCAACACTGGTGCTGTGCTTTACTAAATGAATGGAGCATTTCATTTAGTGAGCAGGTATGAGCTGTATTAGAGGAGCAAGAGAAGCCCTTAATGGAAGGAAGGAAGGAAGCTATAAAGAGATTGTTTTGTTTTATTAATATCTGATTTAAAATATCATGTATTAAATGTTGATTCAACAGAGTAATATCATTAAGGAAAATATGAGATGTCAAAGAAAAATATGTACAGTAGTCTTCCCTTATTCTCAAGGAGATGTTCCAAGACCCCCAGTGGCTGACCAAAGCTGTGACTAGTACTGAACCCTATATATACTATGTCATTTCCTATACATGTTTGCTGTTCATACATTCCTATGATAAAGTTGAATTTATAAATTAGGCACAGTAAGAGATTAACAACAATAATAAAATAGAGCAATAATAAAACTTAATTAAATGTGCCCCCCAAATATCTTACCCTTCTCTACTCATGCAGTTTTGGGCTGCAGTTGACTGCAGGTAACCGAAATTACAGAAGGCAAAACCACAGATAAAGGAACACTACAGTATTTTTAAAGAATGTTGGCAAAATATATTAAACCTCAAACCTGCCTTAGCAATTAACAAAACTTTTGAGGATGTCTTCTATGCAAGGAATTTTAAGCACTTTATCATGCGCCTACTTGCAAAGTGATGCAGAGCTCTGAGGAAATAATCCAAAAGAAACTTTAAAAATCATTATAATATGAAATCATCATTAATTATCTTAATGCAAATGTGTCTGTGTGACTCATGGCACTGATCCAGTGACAACTCTTCTGTCCTCCCCAGTAGTTGTCTTTCTCAGGAACAGGTGGCCCCACCTGCCCGACCACATACATCCCTCTCCTGAGAAAGGTCCACTCTCCAGGATCTCACTCCAGCTGCTGAGGGCACTCCCTGGAGGATGTGTTTAACTACATCCTCCCCAAAGACAAACTACAAGCCCAGGAGAGTGATCTCAGCAGGCAAAGTATTCAGGACACACGAGTGGCCTCCTGGCTTCTTTTTCCCTTTGGCTCCTGGAAACAAAGAATAAGGTAACAAGTGGACTCAGCGTGGACAATTTTTAAATGTTATACATTTAGTTCAGCCTCATAACAGATGAAGTGACTTAAAAAAAAAAAGAGCTAATGGTTTGGGCTGGTTGTAATAGCTCCTTGTAATAGGTAGTAAAGAGTTTTCTGGATTGACGCCAAACTTAACTTCAGTGAAAAACACATGAAAGTAATTGCTTAGAGAACTTGTACACTGAAGAACAGTTCATGACATTTTAACACGATAAATGATGGTGAAATACCATTAGGGAACTAATCTTTACTGCATGGAGTTAGAAAGTTAAAAGAGAGAAAACTGAAAGTATTCTTTTATCTGCTTTAAAATAATAAAAAAAAATTCCTGAGGGAGCTATATATTTGCTAGAAAGTACAGGGGCTTTCCTGAGATTGTACTCAGATGAAATAAGAGGTTTTGTTCTGAATGCACTTAAACATGTATCTTCATGTAGACTTGTTTTCACTGAATACCTTCATGCTATTTCTGTAAGCATTGCTTCATTGTTCTAAACTTTGGCATCAAGAATTACATGTATATTTGATGATTCAAAGAAGATAATTATAAGTTTCTCTTCTCTCTTTTTCATTACGCAAAATGTAATGAGGACACATTTACTCTCTGCCTCCTCGGTACTCAATCATGTTTGCTGTTCATTCACATTATTCACATTCTTAGATGTCCTCATGCTCCAACTGCTGCTATCCCAGGTATGGTCTCCTGGGCTCCATGGTAGTTTTATAATGCTGAGATCAAAGCTCAGAGATTTAATTGCAGCCATTTTAAGGTTATGGCCCAAAAAATTTAATAAAATGAAGATTGAGGGGAGTCTTGCTTTTCCAGGATTCTTGCTCATAATGAGAATCAGTCTTTATTCATTTGACAAGTATCACTGAGCACCTCCTATGTGCCAGAATCTAAGGGGATGGAGATATGAAATGTGAGTAAAAGTCCTCACCCAAAAAAGACTACACATAACTGCAATAAATCAGCAGCTGAACAAGCTATTAAGGTACCATGTGAAAAAATGATATATAACAAAAAGATGTGATGAGGCTGTATCAGATAGAAATATTCCAATGCAAAGACACAAAGTAAGACTAAAACTCAGGGTAGTCCAAACAAAAAGCTAATTTATTAGCTTATATATCTAAAACAGAATTATTTGTAACTATATTTAGAGATAGATCTTTTAAAAGGTTACTGAGTTAACCTTTTAAATGGGGTCATTAGAGTGAGACCTAATCCAGTACAACTGTGTCTTTAAAAGAAGAGGTTTGGACACAGGCATGCACAGGAGGAAGTCCACATGAAGACACAGGGAGAAGAGGAACATCCACAAGCCAAGGAGAGAGGCCTCAGAAGAAACTATCCTTCCCAAAACTGTGATCTCATACTTCTGGCATCCAGAAATATGTCTTCTGTTTAACTCAGTCTGTGGTCCTGTATTATGGCAGCCCTAGCAAACTAATACTGGGCACTGACTCAGGCTCCATGGCAGCTTCTCATCAACTCTTAGCATCACCCTTTGGGCTACAAAATAGCATCAGTTGTTCCACACTGTACGATTTCTCACTATGTTATCCAGGTGCAGCAAGAGGAAGCTTCTAGTAGCTCTCCGTGTTTTAGAATTCCCACTCTCTCCTATGCCTTTGTCTGAACAGTTGCTGTGGCTTAGGGAATGCAATTTGTGGACGAGCGTAAGCCAACCAGGACTGCCCCGGAAGGTGGGTGAGGTCAGTTCCATCCAAACCACATAAGGTGAGGTCCCCAAAGGAAGATAAAGGTATATTTGTGGAGCATAGCATGGAGATAACCAACAAAGACCCAAAGAAAGTGATCAAATCTACCTGGAAAAGCTAAGCAAAAGAAACCCTGAGGAAAATTAAGGTGGGTATTAGAGAATGAATAGGTGTTTTGTAGAGAAGGACTCAAAGAATACACACAAAGGAAGCAGCACATATAAGGGCACAGAAGAGCCTGCTATATCTGGTAAGGTAATCGATATGTCCCTGTATACCTGGAAATTTCCAGTTTTAGCCCTGGAAGTCCTACATCCTGAGAACTCCCTTGGTTCCTGGCAGATATAGATTGCCTGGAACTGTATCTATTTTAAATGGAAGTCCCACATCCCAGTACCCCTCAGATTTGGACAAACTTGGGTGGTTGATCACTCTCTGTTGGGGGAATTATGAGCAAGGATTATGAAGCAAATTGGCGGGAGATAAAATTGGAAAGACTGGCTGAAACTAATGGCAAAGGGCCTTTCGTGCACCCTAGTTTGAAGTAGAGAAAAAATCTGTAGTGTTCCTCTGCCATGTTGCAAAAATAAGTTAGTAGGACATTATTCTATGGGGGTTAGAGGAAGTGTGTGTCAATCATACAAATGCCATGGACCTTTTGCCACTTGACCTGTTTCAGGAAGTTCGTGGACCTTGAGGGCGATATAGCATTTGGGAGCAGCAGAAAGTTCCAGGCCAACTCCTCTGACTCAGAGACACTGATCCCTGGGGTCAAGGGCAGCGCTCTTCTTGGCACACTGCGAGGCTCCACAAATGGTTGTTGATTCTTGGTTAACAGGTTTCCCTTAGTAAATGGAATTGCCTCTTCATCTTCAACTATCCCGTCTGCATACCTTCCTCTAAGAACTTTAGCTCTTTTTTCTTTCTACCTTTTCATGCCTTCATTTCCAATTGCCAACCTGGGGCTTCAAACCCACCAAACCTACTAATTAACTGCTCACCTTCCCCACAACATTACCTCTTCCACCTACTGCCTTCCGTCTATTGAGGACGCTGCCATTCTCCAGCCACCCACCCCCATGCTGTGGAATACACCGCAGCCAATGAAAACAAGTGGCTGAAGAAAACCAAGTTGCAAGCAATGATTATTTAGAATGATCTCATATTCATATAGATTACATCTAGGTACTTTCAGATATATATTAATGCAAACATATAGGAAAAATCATCGAGAAGTAGATATACCAAGTACATATACCAAACTCTTTAAGATACAGTCTCACTCTGTAGCCCAGGCTAGAGTGCAGTGGTACAATCTTGGTGCACTGCAACCTCTGCCTCCCTGGTTCAAGCAGTTCTTGATATACCAAACTCTTTTTTTTTCCTTCACCAAATACTACATGGATGATTCCAGACAAGTTTATTAAACACTTCTAGGGACTCATTTCATATCTGTAAATTGGTATACTATTACCCGTTTTGCATACTATTTGGGACAACGTAGACTTAAATAATTTTAAAAATACATATTGATGATCTTTCAGCACTGACTTAAAACCTCCCAGATCTGTGGAACCCCAGAAATTTCATCCCCATTCTACTTTAATACCTGGGAAATCACAATACTGTAAACTGCCCCAGCTAAAAAGTCCAAAACCCTGAAATTCCCTCCTTTGGGTAGTCCTTGCTTGTGCACATGCTCCCGCCGGCTAAATATATCCTTGCCCTTATCCTGACAGCCAATCATTTGCCCTTTCTCCTGGATTTTAATTTCTTCTGGATAAGGGCCTCACACACTTCCTAATTTCATTCACCTTACTGCCCAGTGGGGCTCAATGCCAGGCATTGAAGCCTCTTCTCTTGCAAGCACCCTGGAGCCCCTCAACTCTTCCTTTTTTCACGTTTTGTAGCAGCTTGTACTTTATTATATATGTAACCTTGCCATGCTGCAAGTTAACTCCCCGTCCCTCCACCCCACCGCCAATGTGATCCTCATATCAGCTCCCTCTTGGGGGCCACTGAGCTGCCTCACTTTCCTTCTGGGCTGAAGTAGTGGTGCCCCGCAAGCAGGCAGTGGGCAGGGGGAGATCCACAATTAGTCGTCACAGTTCTCTTAAAAGTATTAATACTGAAATAAGCACTCTTGGGGAGCTGCAAAGGATATTCAGGATGGGATGCAGTGGGAGCTACCCCTCATCCAAGGTACAGGCTGGAATGACTACAGCTGGTCTATCGTGGGCCTCAGACGGTGAAGAGGGAGTGTATTCTGGGGCTTAGTGTGGGTGGGGCAAACTTGTTCTGGTGGATGATGTTCTTCACATCTAGGAGAGTCTGGTGGTAGACACAGGCCTGACAGTAATAACACCAGGTCGACAGGTCGATGTAGCTGAAGACCAGTGGGTGTCCAGAGTTTCTGTGGTGTTGGAGCATGTGGGCATTGATGTAATGACCACAGTAGACCTGATAGAGAGACACACCCAATTCTCTTGGATTGTTCCGCAGTCCCCACAAGGTTGGGTCACGTCCAGGCCTGCCGCAGGTATGGGGCTTACTGCCACCAAACGGGGACCAGGGCAGTGGTGTTACAGCATAAAATATGGCCTGGTCAGTGAGGCCCCTAGATTCCTGCATCAGCATCAAATCGGCCATGACCTGACCTCCAGCTGCCTCTCCTAGGTTCTCCTCTCTGGGGCCTGAGATTCTGGGGTCCCCTGAGATTTGCTGCCTAGCTCCAAGGTCCTGAGACTCCCAATCAGTGCACTGGAAGATATCTGGGGTGTAGTTCCCTGCACAGGTGAGGTTGAAGGGGTCTGGTAGTCTGTGCTCGAGGCTAGAGGAGTCTGGATCAGCTCAGTGCCCCCTAGAGCTTCTTCTGATGTAGTCTGGTCCAGTGTGGCTCCCTCCATGGCTGCCTTTGAGGTGGTCTGGGCCAGTGTAGCTCCTCCTACAGCCTCCTCTGAGGTAGTCTGGCCCAGCGTGGTTCCCTCGACAGCCTCCTCTGAGGTGGTCTGGGCCAGTGTGGCTGCCTCTGAGGACTGGTCCTGAGTGAGTGCCACCACAGCTGTCTCTGACTTAGTCTGGCCTGGAGTAGACTCTTTCCCAGATGATGCTGAGATGACCTTCCCCATGCCTGCTTCCAGAACCTTCTTTTCTCATGTGGTCGTCCACTCAGCTAATCTAGGTTTGGCTGGTTAGGGTGCCTTCTTGGTGATCAACTTAGAACTGGAGGGTCCCTCTTTGTCTTCTACTTTCATGACCCATAAGCTGCACCAGTATCTGTGAAGGACTTGGATGGTTTCAGTGATTGAGGCCAGGGCCCCTGATAGTAGGAGCCATGGCAGGGTCAGCAGGGATGGGGGGTCTTCAAGGACGGAGCAAGTGCAGGCAGCCATGGACTCTGAGATGGATGTCAGGTTATAGCCACCTTCTAGGATAAGGATAATGCTGCCACTGGCAAGGCCCATCAGCAGGTGGGTGAGGTGGGCCTAACCCTCAGGTGACACCTGGCAGCCCCCCCCAGCAGGTCCCCTGTGCAGTGTCAAAGCCAGCTGAGACCTGCAGCAGTTCTAGGTTAAACTTGTAGGCAACGGAAAGCACCAGGCGATGCCAGGTGGCTAGGTAGGCACCATCACCTATGCAGGGCCCATTCCATGCCACATTGATGGTGAAGCCTGTGCCCACAGCCTGGCCGATTTGGCTGCTGGTACCCTCATCTCCCATGGGGAAGGTGGTGCTGTGATCATAGCGGTGCAGGGACACACAGAGCACACTGGGGTCATCCCCAAACATGTACTGAGTTCCATGACCATGGTGGACATCCCAATCCACGATCAGGATCTGCAGGGCACACCCACTGATAGCCTAGGCATGGCAAGCAGCCACAGCCATGGAGTTGAAAAAGCAACAACCTCAAGCTGCGTCCTGTTCCACATGGTGTCCTGGGGAATGCACCACAGCAGCACCATTCAGAACCTCTCCTGAGAGCACGGCCTCCACCAGGCGGCAGGCAGTGCCAGTGGCAAGCTGTGCACAGGCAAAGGTGCTGGGGCAGATGTAGATGGAGTCAACGTTAGAACTCTCACTGTGCAGCTCCCGAGTTTTCATCTTCTCTGCAGCCTGGAGATGAGCTACTTACTCAGCACTGTGGCAGGTAAACAGCTTAGCCTCTGTGGCAGGGTGCAGCAGGTGCAGTGGCAGGGTGAGGCAGCTCCTGGCAAGGCCCAGCTCCTCCAGATGGCACATGATCTGCAAGATGTGCTGGGGTACCTCGGGGTGGTGGCTGTCCCACAAGTCACAGTGATTCATCATACGTTGGTCATAGACCAGCCCTGTGTGAGACTGTAGCACTGGCCATGTCAGGATTGGGAGCACAGAGGACTCCCAGGGTACTTCCTCCTCTCTCCTCTACATTGTCCTCCTCCATGCTGTCCCCCTCCATGGTCTCAGCTGATCTCACAGGAACTTCCCAGAAGGGCTCAAGGGCTTCCAGAGCACAGGAGACTGAAGCCTGGGCACTCCGGCGGGGGGTACCTGGGGACTCCAGCATGGGGCAAGGGTCTCCCACAAGGGTGTGGAGTGAAGCACTGATGCCTTCAGCCAGGGTGCAGAGGTTGTAGCCACCCTCCAGAGACAGGCTCAGCTTGCCTCCTGACAGACCCATGAACAGGTGGGTTAGCTGGGTAAACCCTGCTGGAGTGGCAGCCATCTCATCCTTGGGGTCCCCTTGCAGGGCATCAAATCCAGAGCCACTAGGACCAGCTGAGGCTGGAACTCAAGGGCAACTGGCAGCAGGATGTGCAGGAAAGCAGCAATGTAGTCAGCATCCCAAATCCCCACCTGGTTCCAAGGCATATTGATGGTATACCTTTGGACTTGGCCAAAACCTGTTGTGGACCAGTTAGAGGCCTGCAAGTGGGGCCAGAACCAACCCTGCTCATAGCAGTGGATGGAGAAATAGAGGACACTTGGGTCCCGATCAGAGGTGAACTGTGTTCCTTGACTGTGATGCACATCCCAATCCACGATAAGGACCATCCGGATGCATTGTTTCTGTTGAGCGTAGCGAGCTGCCACAGCCACGTGGTTGAACATGCAATAGCCATCTGTGAGACTGTGCTGGGCGTGATGTCCAGGAGGCCTAATGATGACCATGCCATTCCAGATTTCAGTCCCCAGGACCACATTCACCAGCCTGAGGACAGAGCCCAAGGCCAGGCAGGCACAGGAGTATGATTTCGGATGAAGATGAACTGAGTCACAGATGTCTGCTAGGACGCGGAGTTCTCCCTCATTCATGTACTGGGTTGTTTCCATCAGATCAATATATTCTAGGCTATGAACATCAGTTCTTCCTTTTCGGCAAACCGGGCCTGAAAGGACACGCAGAAACCTAGGAGGCCCTCCCGGATCAGTTGATCCCTGATGGCATAGAGCCGCTCAGGGCCTTCTGGGAAGCTGTCATCCCAGAGGCAATGGAATTCATTTAGCTGCTCATCCAGCACCAAGCCAGTGCCAGCCAGTGCTTCAGCCTCAAGGTTCAGATCCATCCCTTGCAGTCCCATGATTAGGTCTTCTTCAATTGCTTGGCTGACCTCCTTCATTTTGCTTTTCTTCTTTACCTCCGCTAGATTAGGGATGGAGCGGGGAATGGCTCCCTTTTCAATGTTTCGCTTTGAAGTGACACTGGAGTCCTGAGGGGATGACTGGAGGTTCTGCCTACTTCTTTGCTGCCTGGTTGTGGTGGAATCCTGGCCGGTTGAGGTCATAGTTGAGGCCTTTTCAGCCTATCTCTGGCGATAATCACCCACTCTTTCTTTCAGCCCATCCTGCCTGGCCTCAGCCCCTCCCTCAACTCCTTGACTGCCCACTGAAACTGCCTTGCCACTTTCCAGCCCCTGGAAACACTATTTAACAACCTTTTTTTAAAGTTCTCAAACCATGCTGACTGAACTCAGTTTCAACGCTGTTTTCCAATGCTGGCCCCTCACTGCTGATGAAATTCCCCGCTTGGCTCTTCTGAACTTGCATGTATAGCTCTATTTTCAACCCCCTAACCTGACTCCAAGCAGTGGCATTGCCTCCTGCACTGCAGAAACATTCAAGTTAATATGAAAGCAGCAATCACAGCATCGCTCTAAAAGGACCCACTCACTTAAGAGTCTCTGGAAATTCTAATAGGCACTTCAACAGCAGCTTCCCACAGTTTGTCCTGTCTCTTACCACTTTTTTCTTGAAGCTTTCTCTTTCCTGTCATCCTTTACACTGCACTTAATCCTCCTGTTTCTCTCATCATTGGTTCACCTTCCTCCTTCAAACCCTAAAAATGTAACCTACCACAATCCTGAACCATAGTCCTTGACCCTCTGCCCTCTGTGTCCTCATTGAAAACCTCATCTATCCCCATTACTTTTGCCATTGCTTCCAAAGAAGTTGCTTTCCTATGCCATGCCTACAATTCCACCAAATACTCAGAGGATTCCATCAGGATATTCCATAGCCAATTCAAACTCAACATAAAATTTATCTTGTTCCTCCCTCTCACCCTTTCTCCTAACTGTGTCTATTAAAACACTGCCAATCTCCCATTCACTCAGTCATCCTTGACTTCTTCCCCTTTTCCTGTCTTTGCCAAATCATACCTAGTCTAACTCTTGAATCCATCACTGCATCCTATTCTTATTTTTACTTTCAAACAGTTACTGTCCTAAGAGTGCCTGATGGGAAATGGAAGGGGGATCCTTTTATTTTTTACTTTATATATATCTCTATGTTTAAATTGTTAAAAAGTAATCATATGTAACTATTTGCAAGCAAAGATAATACATGTTAATTGTGGAAACATGAAATTAAAATAATACATGATCATCACAGAAAATTAAAATTGCAAATAAGCATAAAGAGCAATATAAAACCATCTGAAGGCCAGGTATGGTGACTCACACCTATAATCCTAGCACTTTGGGAGGTCAAGGCAGGCGGATCATCTGAGGTCAGGAGTTTGAGACCACCCTGGCCAATGTGGCAAAACCCCGTCTCTACTACAAATACAAAAATTAGCTGGGGGTGGTGACGCACACGTGTAATCCCAGCTACTCAGGAGGCTGAGGCACAAGAATCACTTGAACCCAGGAGGTGAGGTTGCAGTGAGCTGAGTTGCACCACTGCACTCCAGCCTGGGCAACACAGCAAGACTCTGTCATAAAATAAATAAGTAAATAAATAATAAAAACCATCTGAAATGTCACCACCAGAGGTACCATTGCTAGCAGTGTGGGAAACCGCCTACCAGTCCTTCCTCTGGGCACCATTGCTGATGGCGATGCAAAGACTAATGAAGGCATCTCCCCAGCTTGCCTTGCCGTCCTCCCCACTGACTGTGACCCTTAGCAAGTTGCAAAGCCCTCTCATTTGCTTCAGCACTTGTAGGGCCTCTGGAATCTGTCAGTATATTTTCATTACCATCACCCTTGTCAAATCTCTCATGATTTCTCCCCTGCTCTCTGGCAGTGGCCTCCTATTGGGCTTTCACTTATTTCCTGTCTCCCTCCTTGCATCAGTCACCCGACAGCCTCTAGATTAATCTTCCTAAAGCCTAGCTCTGATCATGTTATTCCCTTGTTTAAAAACCTTCAGCAACTCCCTATCGCCTATAAAAAGTGCCAAACTCCATGATCTGGACTAAAACTGAACTTCACTGTTCCCTTGAGAACTTTTCTTCCCCTCAGTTCTTGTTCATATTATTTTCTCTAAGAGAAATACCATTTTATCCAAGCATTTCTATCCATTACAATGCCCCTCTTTTAGATAATTTAACAAGTATGAAAAAAATTTGCACAAGAATGAATGTTCATTACAGTCAAGTCTATGACAGGGGAAAATTAAAGCCAACTTAAAAGTTCACCAGAAAGCAACCAATTAGGTAAGTATGGTACATGCAGTTTTTCAATGGAATACAGTTCAGCTGTTAAAATGACACATGTATGTATATATACACATTGTATTTATTATATAGACATAGGAAAAACCTATAGAATATTCTCAATATTATATAGACATGGGGAAAGTCTATAGAATACTGTCAATCTATATATATAGTATATACATACCATATATAGCATACACTGTATAGTATATATGTACACTGCATTTATTATATCGACATGGGGAAAGCCTATAGAATATTGTCAATCAAAACAGTAAATTATAGAATTCTTTTGTAAATATATTTTAAAAGCTCATTTGCAGAGCTTTTTGGAAAGACATTAAATTATAATAGAGGTAAACTTTAGATGGTTGAATTTAGTTGATATTTACTTTGTTTTGGTATTTTGCATTTAATTTGAATTTATTTAAACACAAGCCAATTACAGCTGTTACCATATATTGCGAGCTATTTGCCACGTACTGTATTTGATGTTTTACCTTTGATTATTTATTTAGTTTTGACTGTCAGGGGAGCAAAGAAGTGTTCCCAGGGTCATACCACTAGTGAGAGGCAGAGATGGGATTCAAACCTACTTGTCTGATTCCAAAGCACCTCTTAGGCATTCCGTTACATAATACTGAAGTATCATTTTTCCAAAAATAAAAGCTAATAAAATATGTTCTCTCAGTCTTACACAGCTGCACTTAATTGCTCCCCCAAGACCTTCTCTCGTCCCCATATCCCCAAGTATGACAACCATGGAAGAAGGCAGAATGAAAGTTATATAAGACAGACACACAGAGCACAAATAAAGGTTTTAAAAATATAAACAGCATCATTGTACATATTACATTATCCTATGAATTGGTTTACATTTAAAATATGCATCCTGTATGTCTTCCCTTGTCTGTACATATTGATCAAGCTCAATGTATCTGTGAACACTTTCATAGTAACCTGTCATGTGGATGTGCTATAATCATTTAACCAGTCCCCTATGGATGATCATTTATGTCATTTGTAAATTTTGCTACTATAAACAATACCAGAATGAACATCTTTGTCTAACTCTTTGTCTGTTCACATGTGAGACTGTCTTTTGCAAGATGGATTTCCAGAAATAGAATTACTAGGTCAAAAAATATAGGCCTTTTCCTGCATCAGAGTTTCTGAAAACGTTAGCAGCAGTGAGAGACTATGATTCAGGAACCAGCTGCTTATATTATTTTGTGGCCTCGTTTCCTACTCACAGCCTCACCAGCATTGGCAACCATGTACACATTTATCATCCTAACATCTCCAAATTGATTTGTAGAAAAAAGTAACTGGAGTATGAACTCCATGAGTTCTGGTGAATGAAATGTCGGCCAACAAGTTCCTATACACCCTTGAGCAATAAACGATCCACAGGTGACTCCCATTTCTTTTTCTGTAAAATAAGACTTTTCTAGCTCTGGCACTAAATGTTTTTTAACTCTAAAGACAATGATTACATTTTACTCTTCCAGCTTCTTAGATTTTGAAATATGTATAGATACTGTAAAGGGCTATCTTGCCTCATTGAAAGTTCAAATGGTATGGTGATAAGACCACATTAAAAGCATTTATAAAAGGTCCATGGTAAAGAGTTCATTATGGTTCATTAAATCCCTTCATGCTTTTATTCATTCTAGTTACTGTATTTCCTGTAAATGGGATTTACGCCAGGGCCACGTTAACACCATTTCACATTCTACCATGCTATTACCCACTGAGCTTGAATCAATTGAATGAAAGAGGCCTTTTCAAGTGTATTGATTTTCATTTATCCAAACTCATCTGTTTGCTTTGCCGCATGCCCATACATGAGAACAGGGCACAGCTAATCTTCTCTATGGTGTTGCTTTTTTCCCTTAAGCATTTAATACTAGAAGAGACATATGACAGGCATTGGCATAAAAATTGCAGAATATTCACTAGAACTACAGTTCTTTATGGGTGATATAAGGACCTGGATCTCATTCTCATATCAGAAACAATGTAGCCTAAAGCAACACATTATCGCCTCTCTTCCTTCATGAAAGCAGTCACCTCCTACTCTTCCAGCCCCCAGAGAGCTCAGACCAGGGATACTGTCCTCCTCCCCCAGAAACAAGTAGAGGATTGTTGCCTGTACAGTGATTCTTCTAAGTGCAATTTTTTTGCTGTCAGGATGCTAAGTTTTCTGCTGCTGCTTTCTACAGAAATACTCCTTATTTCTTTGGTCAGGTATCAAACTGAAAATTTGAACAAAAGGAAGTATCCAATAGGGAAAATAATATTTTTAATGTACATTTTAATGCTCTTGTCCTACATTCCTAGCTTAACGTGTGTGTGTGTGTGTGTGTGTGTGTGTGTGTGTGTGTGTGTGTGTGAAAAAGAGAGAGACCATTTATTTTAATCCACAGAATTTTGGAGATGGAAAGCATTTTAATAATCTTTATCGAATTGTTGTGTTAGTCACTGGGTAAGTAGCTATGTGGTGGAAGATTAAATGATATGTTCTAGGCTTCTAGTAAATAGACCTTGACTTCTGCTCAAGTAAATACTGAAATATGTTTACCTGGATGATAAATACTGACTAAAGCAAAGGTCAGAATTTCCTTTGAGTTGCAATAAATATTTCCATACACGCAAACAAGATTTCATGTTATAGCTAATGATTGAACATTATCCAAAGCCACAGCAAAAAATATTATTATCAAGCAAATTCTAAGGCATCTTTCTTTTATGCATGATACTATACAGGATAATCACTTTTGGCTTAGTTAAGATCTGATGGCAGATGTTGGCCTAAATGTTGGATAAGCCTGAGTCCTTACTGTGAAACAGAAGATGAATAGATTCATTTATGAAAAGCTCAAGGTACATAAATATGACAAAGATTAGACATTACTGACTTAAATAAAATGAAAGATTAACAAAATTTGAATATGATCCTAATTAGTGAATGAACTATTTTTCCTCCTACACATTCATATGTGCTATGTTATACAGTTTTTGAGAAATAATTCATAGAAAATATTTTTTAAAAAATATTTTTCTTTCAAAAGAGAACTATATCATAGTAAGTGTAAAACATTTGAATATCATTTAGCTAGGGAGTAAGAAATATAGAAATGTATCTTCAAGAAGATTATAATCTAATTGGGGAGAGGAGCAGATACATGCAAATACAGAATTGTGTAGTTGTTAAGAACATGAGATTTTGTAGTCAGCTACTTGGGGAGTGGAGGGGGGATAATCATGATTACACTGCTGCACTGTAGGCTGGGTGACAGAGTGAGACCTTATCTCAAGAATAAAAGGAAAAAAAAAACCGTGAGATTTGGAATGTTAATAAGTATGAATTCTAGCTCTGGTACTATGACTTCTGACAAGGTTTTCTGAACCTTAGTTTTGGAATGTGTATGAAGGGAATAATAGAATTGATTTCATAGGGTAACAATAAGAACTAAAGGTCTGGAAAGGCCTGAAAAGGTACCCAGCAAAAGGAGAGCTCCATAAGTGGTAGCAGTTGTAATGATGTACTGCTACAGTGACAGATGAAAATACTTTTATGGAGGTAACTCATAGAGGTACATGATGACTGCATTTACAATAAAACACTATTTTTACCTTAATTCCAGAGGAGAGCTCTTAAAATTGTATTTCATGGTTTGTCAACACTTCAAAAAGAGGTGGGATTTGAAATAGATGCTGAGAGAGGAATAGGGTTTTATTAGTTATAAAAGAGGAGTGATGATCCTTACAACTGCCAATAAAATAGCAGTCGTCTGTTCAGCCTGGGCCTGAGCACATCCTCCTTCTGAATGTTCTTTTCTGGGTTAATTACCACACCAACATTTGCTCCAGGTTTTAAAAGTATTTTTTCAACTATTTCTTCTGGGTCCCCTTTGTTGGCACTTCTGCTTGATCTGTTTCAGTCCCCCCAAGTGAAAAATCACTTTCAATAATAAATAATGTTAAAAAATCAAATAAGAAAAATGATAAAAACAAAAAATATCACCCTCCTGTTAAT